GAGCCCACGGTGATGCGTCCCTCCATGCTGTTGCTAGGCCATCCAAAGGCACCCAGGAGGCAAAGGGGTGCTGCAGCATTTCCAGGGAAAGATTGATATCTGCATGGCTCTGACAGATGAATGGGACTGAAACAGCAACACCCTGAAGCAGCAACTCCCCAGGCTCTCTGCTTTAAGGCAAAAGTTTGTCTCTTCAGGTGGGGTGAGGTGACACCATTTACCCCACCTAGGAGCAAAAATGCCCTGCTTCCTTTGTCTGTCACTGCCTGGGGCAGGTGGGGTCCCTCAGGGCAGAGTGAAGGACCCCCTGGCTATTCCCACAGGTAAAACTCCCTGCCTCAGCCTCACTGGGAGCTACTGGGGAGCAGGGCTTGCTCCTGCCAGCACCTTGCACAGGGACCGCTTCACGCTGGGGACAAGGCTCAGGGCAGCGATGGTGTGATGGAGGGATGCTTCTCCCACCAGCACTGCTTGCTGCTCCCAGTGACTGTCCCTCCCAGGCTGAGACGCACAGGGCACCAACCCAAAGGCAGGGTCCTTTTCCTGGCACAGAGTGATAGGGATGGGCTGAGGAGGAGGAATCCAGACCCTGCTCTCCCTTTGGTACAAAAGCATTTTTGTGTCGTTCTGGAGTAGTGCACCCACAGAATTTCATATAGAAAGAAATTAAATTTCCGTACTTTGAAGAGCAATAGGGAATAAAATACAATTTGTATCATGATTACTACACTGATTCATACATCCATAAATTATTTTTGCAAGAAATTTACCAGCCCAAACATCTGACACCCCCACACACACACTTTTTCCCTGATTGCCACCCTATTTCCTTCCAGAAGAAAGCTACTTCCCAGAAGAAGGGCTCCATAGCACTACTGCTACAGCTGCTCATCAGGCAGCATGCCACACAGCTCTGCTGGGGCAGCTCTGCATGCATGCCAATCACAACACTTCACTTTAGGAGTTTCTGAACCGTTTGTGCACTACCCAAAGTTTTTCATATAGATGAAACGTTTTTTTCACTCCCATATGGCTGGGAAGAGTTGCACTCAGGCATTCCAAATTACTTAACTCCACATCAAATGCAACATATTAGCTCCATGGCTTTCCAGTGGCTGATCTACGTGGAAGAAAAATAGTCTATTACTATTACCAGCCAGGAGTTGCTTTTCAGAGCAAGTGGGAGGAACTGATGTTCATATTGTTAAAAGCCATGGATTAAAGCCCTGTTGATGACCTGTTATTGGGACTTGCACTGAACTGTGGAAGATTATAATAAAAAAGTGTATTTTTTAGAATACAATGAACAACTACAAAAAGAGGTTTCAAATGAAAGTTTCTTTGTAAGCCCCTATTGTAACTACAAAGTAGCATTCACTACTTCTAATATACACAGCTTACACCCAGGAGCCTGCACACTCACATATTTTGTGTTTAATACCCTGAAAAAAAAAAAAAATTGAGTATATATCAGCTAACACCCACACAGCATTCTTCCTAATGTATTTCTACAACTACCAAGCAGAGGTCTCCCTGTAAATAAAAGCAGTCTCTTAAATTTATATTGCACTTTTCTTCTGCAGGGACTTTCATACTATGTACAGGAATAATCTCCACCATCACTGAAATGCAGCCACTTCTGGAGTGGAATAAAGCAGCTACTCAATAGGCACACAGCAACATAAAACATCAGGAAGAGAAACATAATGTTGGGACTGCAACAGATATTTAAGAAGACAGCCTGTAATTAAGTTTAAGGACTGTAATTTAGCCAGAACACTGTGAAAAGTGTGAGGGGATCTTTAATTGCAAGGGGTAAGGAGCATGGCTTTATATCTCACCTGGGAAGCATTACCGCTGCAAGGAGAATTGCCCCCTCAAGCATGGGGTAGTAAACCAAAAATACCACGGCCCTCAGAGAGGAGGAACACTGCCCCCCCCAATCATTGCACAGCTCCTCATCCTTGCTGAAGTGCCTCTTTCCTCTGCTACACTCTCTCAGTGCATCTGTCAGGGAAATGAAGTCCTTCCTTTCGTCCTCAGTACTTCTGACAAGCTGAGGCACTTGGGTTAATGACTTTCCCCCAAACTCACCACCAGCTGCTTTCTAGCCAGAGATAAAGGAGCAGAGATCTAAGTGGGAAGGGGCTCCCTGAGACTTTTACCAAAGCTGATGGGCCCATGCCTGACAGCAGGAGAAGGTTTCACCTCTGGCTGGGGCGATCTGCTTGCTCTGCCCTGGACCCACTGCCACCGGTGGGCTTCTTGCCCCCCTGCGCCACGGGTCAGCTTGGTGAGGTACTTACAGACTTCCTCACAGGAGCTGGCAGCAGGGCACTGCCACCCTCCCTGCAGGTATCCCTTTCTAAAAATGTGGTGCCCCTTTGCTGACAACTGCTTCACAGATAACGCTTTGTCCGTGATCCTGAGCCTTCAGGCTGCACCTTCCCAGCCCCACGGCACCTCTGTTGCCCACTAAACATCAGCAAAACATACTTGTGCAACCCTGGCTAACGAGCCAGTAGAAGCAAGGCCACGAGGGTCTCTGCCTCAGCGCCTAGAAGGTGAGGTGGTTGCCCTGGGCTGCCTCTTACCAATGGGGAAATGCTCCTGTCTCCACCTTCTGCCCAGCAGAAGCCCCCTGGAACCAGCAACGTAGCACAAATGTTTTGCCACTGACAGATCAAGAGCAATCATGAAGCACCCAAGGGCCCCTGGAAAGCACCCTCTCTCTCCTAGGAGTAAAAGCGGACTCTTATCAGGAGTGGGGTGATGTCTTCTGGCCTCCAACAAGCATGGAGGAAAGGAATAGCATAGGACTGAAAGAACTCAGGTAAAAGATGATGGTGGCACTGGCTGCCCATGAAAATGGCAACAGACAGCAAGAAGCAGAATCGCTGTCGGCACCCACAGCATCCCAAAACACTGCCTGGCCCTGGGAGACAGCCACAGGTCTCCTGGACAAATATGCAGTGTGATCGAGGTCTGGGCACAGGAGGGAGTGGTGGAGACAGAAAAGACACAGTCCTCATTCTTGGAAGTGGAGAAAAGCAACAGGAACAAGGGAGACACGTATCATCCCCTCTCACTGTCTTGCGATGCCTCCTGTGAAGGAGGTCCCCTTGTCCCTCAGCGCTGATGTCCTTTCTCTCTCCAATGGTGGCTGGGGAGCATTAGTACAGATGAATGCCCCTCCAGGAGCTAGAGAGTGATGGGTTTCAAGACTTCAAACTGGATCTCTTGGGAGTTAAATAAGAGCTTTCCCCCTCCATCAGCAGAAGAAATGAGGCACCAGCTGTTGCTGGAAGCTGAGCAATGCAGGAGGCAGCTAATATATCCATGTGAATTTAGACATACAGTTGTCTCAGAGAAGCTCGTATATTCATCAGAAATGGGTAAGGAGCCATGGGTACTGGGGGCTCTGGTGAGAGAACTAGCTCATCGTACATCTGTGGCACCCCAGATACGGAGTTTGGATGGGGTATCCCTTAGGGGGAAGAGTCCCACTTAACTGAACTGCCACAGCATGGGCTAGTAAACCCCAGTTCACAGTCCTGTGGGGTGAACTCTGCCCTGTGCAGGGAGAAAAGTCATGCCCAGAGCTGCTTCCAGTGGCAACAAGGCTATCACAGCTCCCACTTGGCTGGTGCAGGGCAGACCCTTCTCCTGCGGGTTCATCTGGAGCTGCACGTGCCTCCGCCCTGAGGAGGTCAGGCCAGACCTGCTGCACGTCTGCAGCAGAGAGAGACACCAGCTTTACCCTTTCATGATGCCAGAGGAAAAAGGTGAATTTCCCCCATCCCTGTTCCCCTGTTCCTCAGCGGCAAATGGGGCCACAGCTCAGCACAAGCCCATCTTTTGGGTCAAGCTTCCTGCCTCCATCCTTCTTGGGGCACTTTCCTGCCTGTTCCACCTTTCAGCTCCTCTGCCCGCTACTTTGGCAGTGGAAGCTGAGTGCCTGCGAGACTGCACATGCTGACAAAATTCAGCCACCTCTCCCCTGAGCAGCGATGCTGTTGCCACACTTCACCCACTCTGCAGCTAAAAGCGAGTGAGTGCTAAAAGGCCTTAGAAGGTGAGAGCTGGCCCAGGGGCTGGGTCATGGGCACGGGACCTGCTGTCTGGCTGAAGAAGGTTTAAATGCCTGACTCTTCCCATAATCCAAAAAGCTTGAGGTGGGGGAAGTTGAGCAATGGAATAAAAGACCAAAATAAACAGGTAACAAAAGAGAGGCAGAGAAACAATCCTGGCCTTAGGGCTGAGGCAACCGTCATCGCAGCATTCACAGGGGAAGCCAATGTGCAAACGGCTCCCTCCTTCCCATTCCATCCCACCCTGCCGCATCCCTCAGCCCCAGAGAGACACCCTTCTGCCTGCAGCTCAGACCTGCTCTCATAGTTTCTCCACCCAGCAAGAGCGCTGAGAGAGAAAGAGGCGCTCAGAGGCCAATGCTGCAGCCCGATTCAGCCGGAACTTCTCCACCACTCAGCACGGTCCATGTGATGGGTCCATTCCTGCTCCATCTTCTTC